ATAGATAGATAGATAGATAGATAGATAGATAGATAGATAGATAGATAAAAGGACTTTTATTTTCCATCCTCACAACCCTGAAAATGGCTTGAATACTGTGAGCTGTGAGAACACAGCGGGATATTTTACACGTCGGTCAACAAACACTGTTACACACTCCAGCACAGTGTGACTTCACCTCCACTGTGACAGCCGAGCCACTGGTGTAATCCTGAGGCTTTTCAGATTACTCTGGTTGGGGTCACATTCTACACCAAGCTATAGCGGGTCAGCTTACCACTGTGCCGCTATCAGTGTGCAGCACAGGCAGCCAGTCAGTCAGTCTGCACACACAAGTCTCAAAGCACAGATGAGACTTATCATAAAATGCTGTTAGTTTCCCTCCCCCACCCAACTATCTGTCCATGTCGGATTGACTGAATGTACAGGTAGCTCTGCAAGATCTGAATTCTGAGATTTTCTTTTAGGAAATGTGACTGAGGCCGAATAGGAATTCATTTGAGCAATGTACATGATCTTTTGTTGCCACTGAACTGTGCATCTTCATCTCAGCATCCATGGAGCTGACAGTGTGTGTCAGTCCTTTCTAGGAAGCCGATAAAAACTTCATAGGAGGGTGCTCGCACTCCCAAGCGTCCGTTACCGGCCTGGCCACATCTGCAGAGGGCCAGCCATCTGCACCCATTGTCTCGGAGGCACAACACAGCCCCTGCACGCATGGCTGGCCTTGTAAAGGCAGTCCCTGTCCCCTCTGCTCTCCTCTAGCCTTCACAGTGTGTGTGTGGGGGGAAATGACTTCTTAATCTTAAAGAAATCGTGAAAAATTCTGCCTGTTGAACTGAAACATGACCTGTACAGACAGGCTTTGGCTCAATGTGACATAAAGCATAATTTCACTGATTTATCACTTTACAATCACAATGTCAGGTAAGACAGTTTTTCTATGGCAACACAGCACGAGGAAAAAAGCCCGACTGTCAGACGCAATCATGAAAAACTGTCAATATACATCATACAAATCTTCTGGATTTATGTCCAATAGCACTCCCTCTACACAAGACTAAATGTGCATGAATAGCTGACAATGACAATGGCCTTCTATTACCACATCAGACACCTGAATGCAGCCTTTAGTTGCATATTCAACAAGCTTTTCAAACAACGCAGGTAGGCTATATTTCAAGTTCTTGCCAGAGATGAAAGGAAAACATGCGTCATTCTAAAATGTTCCTTGGACATGTCCAATTTTGAAGAGATGATGATTGCAACTGAAGAGCATGTGAATAAAGCTCTCTTCCAGCATTTAAGCATTTCCACCAGGCCCTTCAGCAACACAAAAGCCCCAGGTGATTACATATTTATAACTGGGGCCAATGCTGGCAGCTGATATCCAGACTGAACTGATGATTGGGTCTGATACTGTCCACTGCCACACACAAATGTTTAGAGATAACAGTGTGCAGATGAAAAGCAGGGTGTTTGTCATAATCATATAATCTGCTCTAGAAATGCTTATTATATAAATAACAACATAATAATGTCACCCAACAAGCTGTTATGGGTTACTATCTTGCAGTATTGATAATGAGGATTTATAATATGGCACAGCTGACAATGAATGCAATGTGCATGCGTTAGTGGGAGGGATTATCCACCAAGTAGGGCAAGTGGTTGAGGCTAAGGACTGCAATTCCATCCAGCCTAGTTCATTTCAGTCATCCGCTCAGTGCACACAGAGGACAGGGGGAGCAATTCCAAAGCAGCGTATTTGTCAAACTATCCCCACAAAAAGCAAGGCCAATACGTGAAATAAGAATAACCATGGTAAAGTACACGCGACAGCACAGTGAGCTGAAACCCGAAGAGGTCCTGTCGGAGTCTGACGCGTCCATGGACCAGCAGGATTTCGGAGAGATGTCCGACTATTCTTTCAGCGACGTTTTATACTCCAAATGTTCAGCCATGGACCAAATCGGCACTTTTATGAGGAACGTGCAAGTCCTGCTCGATGCAGCCAGTTACATTGAAAATGTTGAGAGGAGCAACGGAAGTAAGTAAACCACGGGCTGCAGGGGGATGTTAATGCGCCGAGCAGACAACAATAGAGGCGAGGGGCGACAAAAGACGCGCAGCGGACAGATGAACTGGCCCAACAGCAGCCAGAGACCTACACCTGCTGCGACAGAGCCCTCCTTTAGCCGGCCAGCCACCACAATAACGCGACCGTTTGTGAATAAGCCTCCAGAAACGAGTCATTTTTTTAGGAAATTAAGCCTCGTCAGAGAGACTTAATTTCACTGCAACAATAGCCTGCAGCCATTCGCTGCCATTTAATCTTGTGCAGGCTGCGGGAAGCACAGCCTCTGTGCAACATTCACGACCTGAAATGTGCCCACTTTTTTTTTTGTCCACGAGCGCATTTTTGGATCATATATGTATAAGTTCGTGATATTTGAGAAAAAAGCCGTTTCCAGTCTACCCTTCTGCCTCGTTCTGTCGCAACTAATTCTCAAGTTATTCCACTAAAACATAAAATCCACCTAACATAACATTTCCGGTCCCTTTTGCTGGCTAGGACTCTAATTTGGGAATTTTTTCCTCGGAAGTTTCCTAATTTTAGTTCCTGATAGGGTTTTTCTCAGACAACTACTGCTTCCTTGTATGTGTTGTTCACATGGTTTCCACATGGAACAAATTGTAAAGTTTTCATTGGTCAGGACACATATTCCCTGGTGCCAGTGTCACAATAAATAACCAATCATACGCAGCTTTACTAGTGACGTCACCGCTGCTCAAAAGGAAGGTTCAAGGGAACTGTAGGCTGTGTAGAGCAGCAGGGAAACCGATTTAGAACTGGAGTGGTTTTATCAACACAGTTTTTAGAATATATTTCTTCTCCATTTAATTAATTCTTTTGTCAACGTTTTTGTTTTTTCGTGAAACTGATTACAGTCACATTTTTGTCAATTGCATTTACATTTTTCAAAAGCTTAACATTTCAGATCATGTTTATATTTCATTCCATGCTTGTGTTGCCACAATTTAAAATCTAATCTGTAATTTATACAAAACATGTTCACATTCATCAGGAACATTCAGCTTTATTAATGTCTGTGGCTTTTAGGTAATAATACACATCTGATTTATCCCTCCTTCTCCTGTGCCTCATCAGAATGTGAGCATGGATACGCATCAACATACCCTGCAGTGCAGATTGCACATCAACAGAAACAGCGCAAATTAAAGAACAGAAAATTGGACAGTCTTCACAATAGGTAAGTAAAGGACTTTGGGAATGAAAAACCCCTCTAGTTAAATGTGTAACTGATTTTAAGCATGTTATTAATCATTGTGATTCTGTAACATTAGTGCAAACACGGTGGATTTGGCCTGTCCTTGCAGAGGGGTTGTGTTTGGCATTATTAAGATATGTGACAGTTTTGCTGATATATTTATCTTCTCAACAGGTCGGCACACAATGAACTGGAAAAGAACAGGTGAGTGAAGCAAGCCCGAGGAGGTCAGATTGATGCATGTTTGTGACAAAAATACAGAGCTCTGCAAAGTGGAGAACAAAGACAGGTGAAGAAAATGTTGTCCTGAACCTGAAAATCTCAGAAGATATGTGCACCCAAACAACTCAAGTTTTATATGCTTAAAAATAACAAAATCATCAATATAAGGATGAATGTCAAAAAGAGAGGGAGAACAACCTTGTTGGTATGACAGGAATTGTTCTGGTCTGAAAATGCAGCTTCAGGATGACAAACCAAAAGCTCTGCCAACAGGGCCTCATTTTTATATCTTAGTAAATATCTGTATATTTTGGTATTATTGCTGAATATTCTAACAATTCTTTTACAATTAAATACACCACAGGCAAGTAAATAAGCTTCTTATTATTCCAGAGCTCCAAAGTTGTTCTTTTTTTCATCAAGAATCCAGGAATTATCATATTATTCATTATAGGAGGGAACATTTTGCAAGGCAAAGTAAACCCAGCCTCAGTTCTGCTGTTCCTCGTGGACATGCAGACTTTTCCCCGTCAGCAAATAGGAACCGTCTGTTTCCAGACAACAGGACTCCTTCCTGAGAGATACACAGCTGCAAATTCACCAGCAGCTCGCTTTTGCTGCTGCAGGATGAAGCAGATTGTGCTGTGTGCAGGAAACATGCTTATTCTAAATATAAATGTCCAGTTATATCAGTGTGTGAAAATCTCCTTTTCGTAGATGATTAATGGGAGAGGGAGAGGGACCGTCTTCAGGATTGTGCCTCACAGTGGGCAAATTATTCCTTTGTTATTTATATATTTATTATTCATCCAGAAAATGTGGCCAATGCAGAGATGACATCATAATGTGACCTACATTTCACTCCATGACTTTAAAGCCTAGTGAGGGCCCTTTGCAGTTCCTGCCTTCATTCAGAACACAGATCCCAGGGGCTTTGGTGAATCATAAACACAATGTCATCTTGACCCCAACGGTTTTGAAATGTTCACATCTAATTTTCACATCTAATCCCAAACGTGTCTGAGCCTGACAGGGATTGGCTCATTTTATCATGAAATCTAATTGCTCTCGACCATTGTATATGTTTTACATTTAGAGAACTATCAATTAGTCGATGTAATCTAACAATCAAGGAAAGTTCAAATATAGATTATTCATGCATATCAAAATCGATCTTTACAGGTTCTGTCATGCATAATCAGGGGAATATAATGGACTTTACTGTATGCTGTCTCTGAAGAGAAATTACCCTGAGGGTGTCTCCTCCCATAGGCGAGCACATCTCCGCTTGTGTTTGGAGAGGTTGAAGACGCTCATCCCTCTGGGACCAGACTGCAGTCGGCACACCACACTGGGACTGCTCAACAAGGCCAAAGCACACATCAAGGTGTGGTTGTCTCAGCAGTATTTCTGTTGTCAAAAGTAATAATGTAATCATATGCACATGCTACTTCTTCTTATTCATGACAGGGCATGAATTAATGGTATGGCAGCTGGGAACATGGCGGTAACTACTTGTCATGAAAGTAAAAATGGCTCCATTCACCGCACCCATTTTCACTTTAAATAGTGGGAAACATTCAGGTAAAGCTAGCAGTGCTTCCAGCATACGAACACCATGACCAGAAATAACTAAATATAATATTTCTTCATTTCACTAGTGAAAGGGGCCAGTTTCTTATGATTTGCGATTGAATTTAAAACGAAATTTTAGTTTTCACAAATATATTTGCCTGGTCCCTTGATGGACTCATACATGAGTTGTATTTTCTATAGCTTTACAGGGAATGACAGACAACATTTAACCTGCTAGTGTCTATTTATATCCAATTGTGTGACCTGTTTAGTACTAACTAACTAAAATGTTTGTACGATGCTTTACTGTCTACAGTCTTGGATCTGCTGCACTTTCAAAATGAGGCAGGAACCATATTTGAAGTGATTTAGATTCTAATGATCTGTTTTAGATTGATGGCAGCAATAGGTTGATTTGCAAAAAATAGGATTTCTTAGGTACTTTGATGTAGCTCCCCATTGATTAGACAACTGCACTTTGGCCTTTGTATCAGGACATTATGGTTAATGCCTAGTTATTTCAGGTTTTCTTTTCCTTTTCACTCTCTTGATCTGAGGTTGCTGTAAGATATCATCTGCAGGACTTTTGACTAGCACCCATTGGTCTTTAAAGCACCTGTTCAGTTAAGACTGCCTTGCTGATGGGGCCAATGTGTTAGAGACACATGAGACTGACAGTTGGTTCAGAACGTTCAATGCTTTTGATTCCCTGATGGCTGCAAATAAAGCCAGACAAATGATTGGCTTTAAGGTTGTAGTAGCAGCTGAGGTGTGACTCAGCTGAGGGCTGAAAAATTAAACTAATTCTGGCAACAGTCTGTGGGAGGGGTAATGTGTTAGATGTCAGTTAGTTCAGCTGTTAACTTTGGACCTGCATGTTTAAGGTCCAGGAAAAGCTTCTGTTTTGTATTTTCAGAATCAGAGGGTGTACGGTAAATACAGGGTAGCAGGTGAAGCTTAATTCTAAAAGCTTCTCTGCTAAATAAAAAGATCAAAACATTGTGTTACTTCACTTAAGACACACAGAACAAGCAACAATTAGTTTCAAGCCGCAGCTTTGAAAATCCATCACCAAATGTGTTATGTACTACATAAGACAGTAAAATCCTACGATTTTACAACACTTTTATAAAATATCGGAAAGACTAGTTTAAATTAATCAAAACACAGCAAATCTCATTGTGGGAAAAACGTGTCTTTGGGTTTTAACATAATATTTCAGCAGTTGTGCTACAAACAGCAATGAGACTTGTGTGTGCAACTTAACACAACTCCTGGCCATGTTGCTACAGTTGCACATTTTAGCTTTAATCTTTAATCGGAAAATATGACAGCATTAGGACATGTCTGTTGGATCAATTAGATTTTTTTTCATTGAGCTGTTAAATTCTAGTTGTTTTATTTGAATTTATATTAAAAAACGTTTACTGGACATCCATTATAAGTTCATTTTGAAATAAACTCACGGTGAAGAAGTCCTGCTAAAAGCAGGAAAGAATGTCTTCCACATTAAACTCCCTGTTCTCTGTCGTCACTTTTCACTCATATCCACCTCATACAGACACCAGCCACTTGCTGTCCTGGTGCTTTGAATAATTTATCGGGGTGCACAAGGGCAACACATTTAATAGCAGCGACTACACCGAACATTTCTGTATATGTGAAAAGTTCTCCATCCTACAGAGGGCAGACTGGATGAGCACTTATGGGCCCTCTTCCTCATATCTGGATTTGAGGGAGATTAAAATGGGATGCGAACCTCTCTTTTTTCAGAAACTTGAAGAGATGGACCGGAAAAGTCAGCACCAACTGGAAACCTTAGAGCGGGAGCAGAGGCACCTGCAGAGGCAGCTGGCTTTGCTGCAGACTCACGGAGAGCGGGAGAGGGTTCGCACGGACAGCCTGGGCTCCCGGATGGACTCCGATCGCTCGGAGTCTGACAGAGGTCAGTCCCCCGGTTCGAGCTTCCCCTGTCGGATTTTTAGACATCCACGCTGAAAGCGTGAGGAGTTTCAATTTGTGTATTGTGTGTGTTTCAACAGAGGAAATCGAAGTGGACGTGGAAAGCACTGAGTTCTCCCATGGAGAAATGGACAGCGTTAGCACCAGCGGTGCGAGCGACCTGGATGACCACAGCAGCCGGCAGAGCCTAGCCAGTGACGAGGGCTACTCCACCTGCAGTCTAAAACTGGCCTTCTCTGCTTAAAGCAACGGGTCGACGCTCTCACTCCTGCTGCAGTCTTTTATGGCTTTCACCTTTTAAAATACCAGCCAATAGCTCCGTTCTCCTTAACAGTTAAGGCCAATAAATTCAGAAGAACCAGCCTCCCACCAGACAAAAATTCAATCCGTGCATCTACCCGACCCAAGAACCAGCCTTAAGTCCTGTCCAGACCAAAAGTTAAAAGGGTCTCCTTCCACGAAAGCCAACAAGCATCCACGCGTCTCTGACAAGTTTTTTACAATAACCTTTCATCTTTGGCAAAAATACAGTTCTTCGTTTTTCAAAGTTGGCTTGACCAATCGCCCAAACGTCCCTTTACCTGTGACCAGCTCGGGTTGACCACGCCTGCTCTAATTACCGATCCTGTAAAGGACCCATTGTCGCAGCAGTGTCAAACACTGAAAGACATTTCTACATTTAATCAAGTAGATGCTAAGAAACCAGCAAAACACGCACACGCCAACACACACACACACACACACACACAGAAAGAAAACAAAACAAAAACAATACCAGCTTGAATTTCACCATTGGGAACATTTGCTCCATTTGCCTTGTAAAAAACAATGCCCTTTTTCATCGGATAATATATCCACACAGCACTTCTTGTCGATGTACAAGCCGCCAAGGGCTATAATGTCTGCATTCCAAACTGTATTACACACTCATACATTTGCTTTAGGACCCACAACCGTTAGTGGTGCTCCTGTAGTTGTAATGTCAAAACAGGTGGTGTAGACCACTTTTGCTCTTCTAATTTATTTAGCATATAATTATATTTATTTTTTTGTATACTTTTATTGTACTGTGGCTGCATCTTGGTCACATGAATATTGGGAGGGGGGGACGACTTTTTACATGTCAACCAAATTTACTTGATATAAATCTCAATGAACTCATATGGAGTGCTGTATGTCTAATCCATTTTTGGAGATTTGGTTGAATGCTCTCATACTGTGCAAATCAATTAGTTTAGACAGTCAAAGGCTTTCCCACTCTCGTCCAAGCACAAAGTTAAAGCAATAATGCCTGTCCACCAGATTTAGTACTTTATTTTGTCCATCCAACTCGAAATTCTATGTGAAATTGCTTTGGTAGTCGTCTCTGCTATTTATAACAAGCAGTGAATGGATTGTAATTGACTTTAAATGCTATGGTGCATGTGTATTGAATGTAGCCTTTATAATCATACTTAACATGCTTTGGATCAGTGAGTCTATTAATAATGTTGGTAGCATGAACAGCAAATTACACAATATGGTTTCATTTTTATACTTCATTGTTTAATACAGCATTTTTTGTACTGATGCAGAAAAAGAACAAGTTCTAATTATTTCAATTAGGAGATTCCTCACTTACAATTCAAAGCATATATGAAATAGAGTTGCACTGATGACCTGCTTAACTCTACAAAACCAAATAAATCATGCCGGTAAGACCATTTATGTTCTTCAGTAGATCACCACCAAATTGTGTCTTAATATGGGGATTAACTCTTGCACAAAGGTCCTTGTTAGAAGTCCTTAACCAACCCCCCTGAAAATGCATTTGGTTGACTATAAAATGCACAATGAAAAAAAAAAGCGAAGGCGCATCTCAGAATGTTTTTCTTGTGCTTCTTCAGCCTTCCAAGGTGATTTTTTGTGCAAAATATGTGCTGCTGGTCCCCCGCTATAACTTTGTTACAGATCCTGAAAACTATTCCTGGAATCTAAATAAACTTCTACACACAACATGTGCCAATGTCTTTTTCTCAGCTATCCCTGTTTGGATACTATTTTATATTTATATCTATATCTATAGCAGCTCACCTTCTTACAGACATGAATGATACATTTGGTTTACTTAGTTTTGCTCAAAGAAAACACAATACTCCATGAGCAGGCAATTAAGTAGATCCAGGAACATACAAGGTAAAAGTGCATCGTGTAATGTCTTCTGAAGAATAAAGATTTCACTGCCATCTGCAGGACATAATGGGGCGAGACTTTGACCATTAAAAAAAATACAAGAGGCAATACTTTTAAAAACTGACAACAAAATGTTTATTTCACTGTTATGTATGTACAGAAATTAAAATGTAAATTTAGCCATTTCAAATCAACACCATTATCAATGTTCAAATATCCGTACTATGTGTCAAGAGTTTAAAAAAAGGAAAAAGAAAAATGTGCATCCCAAAATCTAAAGGTGTTTATACATATCTCCGCAGATTTTTTTCTCAGTCAAATATGGGGACAAAAAGACAACATTTTCTCTAAAACTTCCTGTTATATACAACAAGTCACTTGTTCAAGAGCAGGAACATTTTCTTGCTGATGTTTGTTGTATCTACATAATATGTAAGAGGACTACAACAATATAAACACTGGTGTGCAAGCAAAAATTCCTTGAAATATTTATTTTACTGGAGAAACTTAAATCATGTATAAACACAATGGAAAGCACTGATACAGCTAGTATACAGTGGATAATTATTTACAGAATATATAATATTATTGTGGCATTAGATGTCTGACATTGTATTTGGATGTGTCATTATACTGGGTCATAGGTTTGTCTGCGATGCCACATGTTCCCACTCCAACCTTTCCATTCACGCTTTCTGGTGATGCAAATATGCTCCTCTTAACCTACAAGAGCAACAAACCGCATGGTAAGAAGGCAAAAGAAGACAATCTAGGTAACTTTAGTACTCAAAAAGAAAAACAAACTCACCTGTCCTTTTTTGTTCTTTGAGTATGCTTTGTTATTGAACTGTTGCCATTTTGACTTCTGCTCCTCCCTCTCTTGTTCCAATTCCTTCATCCTCTGTACCTTTTTCTGGGCTTTCTTCTTCTTATACTCACGCTGCTCTGCTATCTGCTCTTTCCTGAAAGACAACAGTAAAACATACTTATATTAACTACAAAATATATTCAGACAAAACTGGCACTGAACTGTAACATGAGGTAACAGTTCTTCTGATGTTAAAAATATCAACACGTTTAAGGACAGGTTATCTTTTAAGCTTGTACAATATCGTTTGTGAAATCCTTCAATATTTTTCAAAGGAGTTCAGTTGAAAAAGCCCCAAAAGTAAATTTGGAATTTCACAGCAACTTAATATCCTGCAGTTCAAATAAAATTAGCCCAGTCATGTGTTTCTTGCATCTTCCTCTAGCTGACGCAACCTTTTACACATCCATTTTAAATGGCTCAAAACATAGATGCAATCTCAAAAGAAAAAATGCATTCAGATGGGTTACAAATGAGTTTGTTCATACTTTGATTTTGACTTCATACTCCCATCCTCTTCAGGACGTAGTCCATCCTCGGCCACTCTGAGGTTCTGGATTGGAATCACTTCAGCATTTCCATACCGAGTGAAGGTAACGGCTGCAGTTCTGTTCTCTCGGTCTAGCTCCTCAATCTCTGCCTCATACACCCTGTCAAAAAATCACGTCTGTAAGCAGGTGAGTAAGACCCAAAGACTCAAGCTCTATATAACATAAGCTCAATATTACTATTAAATACACTCCAGCATACCAATTTTAGCTGTTTCAGTGTATATCAGCTGCCTACATCAGTGAATAAATACAAAAGCAACATATCTCAACATTATGATAAATATGTAATAACAATCCCATTACTAAAAATAAACCTAAGACATGTTATACATGCATGTTTCAAAAGTAAACTGGATAATTAAATAATGTGTTGAGTAAATTGATATTGGTACTGAAGAATTGGTAAAGAAGGTTTTCTAGATTTTTTGGAAATTTCAGAAAGCCAAAATATCTTAACATGTGTCATAAAGAACAGATGAAAGGCTAAATGTAAAAGAACAAAAGCTGTGGTGTTTTAAAGGCATACATTTGTGCTACTGATACTTACTGGCTATCATCACCCCACAGAGCCAAACACCTGTCTCCCACTTTCCAGTTGTGCTTTGGGGCAGCTGGGACTGAACTACTAGTGCCGGAAGATCCATCGGCAGGTTGTGAAGTCAGTAGATCTTTTGTCAGATCAATCACTTCCTGCAGACAAGCAAAAGAAAGACAGAAGTTCACAGTGAGCTCAGCTATTTTCTTTATTTTCATTTTTTTTTTTAATCGATCTTACAATTCAATTTTATTAATCAACATGTTATCACAGTGGAGAGGTGATGCAGGTTTCTTTTCATAAAGTAGTATAAGAACCATTCAGAAAAGCTGTTAAGCTTTGGTTTTGACGAAAACAAGCATGATGAATACAATTCTGTTATAAATATTTCAAATTTCTTACAGTACATGCGGTTACAAATATCAGAAGGAGAAAAAAAGACTGGTGTAACTGTTTAATTGATGTGATTGAAACAAAAAACGGTCTGCTCAATTTGATTGATATAATCGCCTACGACATAAAAACTATGTAATGAAACTTTTAAATAGAATAATCATTTACCTTTTATAATTTAATCTTTTGGAGCAGATTGGAAAATTCTGTTTTAAAGTGCTATTAAGAACACAAACTGATCTAAAACGGGACCTGTTTTGAAGCCTTAACTGTCTGATTTTCGCTATGCAAGTAAACTAGATACAAACCTGCAAGTCCTTCTGGAGTTTAAGAAGATCCTCATTCTCTTGGTCGGTCGATAAGGCAACTTCTACTTGTTGCAGCTGAGCTTTGTAGCTGCTTAATTGTTTCATCAAGTCTTCCGACATCTGAATGCTAACAAAACACAAGAATATTATCCAGAAACAAAATGCTAGCTAACAATTTATGGTCAAACTATACAGAGAAAATACAGATATAATGTGATAATAGATTAGGAATGAGCTGACTGCAGAGGAAAATAAAAGAATTCAATGATATACCATGTGTCAACCATAAAATCAATCTTAGCATAACGCTAACAGGGCTAAATGGTTAGCAAGGAGCCGTGGCCTTTTCGTCGACGTAAATTTAACGTACGAAAGCTAGTATTACGTAGCTGGTAGACTTAAAACAATTACTCTATGTGAGGTCTTACCTTTTTTCTTAATGCTATTAATACCAAAATAGAATAATAAAAAAGGTGAAGACGTTTATTTTCTAAGAACGGCTGCCTTAAATAAAGTATGCCCTTTCTCCTGTAGCCAACCGGAAACCTCTCACAGGTTTCCTCGCGATAACTGACAACAGATCGTGTTATCAAGCGGTAAGACGCTCGCCAGCGCCCCTTATGGGTGACAATGATTCATTTAGTCTGCAGGTAACAACCCTTAGGTGCCCGCATGCTAGTCGACAAAACGGCTTACATGCAACCTTTACACATGTACGAAAGTCTATTAAGAGAGTTCACGTATCATGCCAAATCTAGCAAGCATATTAGCAGACATGTATTTATGCCTATTTTTATTTGTATTAAATCATCACAAAACTAAACCTTTTAAGTACAGTACAAATCATGGGATAGTCATGTTTTTAAAAAATATACAATATGACCTGATTATATAAAAACTATTGTATATGTAAATACATATATTTATATGTATATACATTTGTTTATAGAATATAGAAATAGAGATGTGAAGCCTGACAAATTGGACAAGTATCCCGCTGTAAATGAGATATTACATCAATAAATCTTCATCATAATTACGTTTCTAATCATCCTATGGCTTCAGTGTCTAGAAAAAGCATCTAATCCCTTTAAATCTCCACTAGATGGACTCCGCCCATTCCTGTTTCCATTAAAGATCCCCAGTGTCAGATCAACCCATGTAGGACACACTCCACTTCAGCAACCACAGATGGCAAAACCTACCCAAGCCAGCAATACCTGGAATCTGTTTCAGACAATATCTTCCCTGGGATTTAACAATTTGTTGTCTTTTTTAAAGGTTTGTGGATCACACTTTACTTTTACTTTTCAAAATTATCTGAAATGATAAGCTATGGATAACTCATAGTTCCCTTCATTTCATCAACTTTTTGTGTTTTTACTACACAAATTTTCTTGCATTTTTAAGTTGGTCTCTATTTTTCATTCTTAAGGAAGGGAGAACAGCTGCTTTCGTCAACTACCTCTTCCTGGGAGAAATTAAAAAGACGACTCTCTGATGTAATTTTATTGAATGGATTCAATGAATACACTGCTGGAAAACATAGCCCAATCCCTCTGACAGAAAACTGTTCAAAGTGTAGCTTGTCCTGATGGGCTGTCTCAATCTAACCAGGGGAAATGAGAGTTCGGCTGACAAACATCCATATTCTGTGCAGACCTCCATTCTGCTCATGATCCTGGTTGGTATGCTTATCCTTCTTACTGTGTTTGGTAATGTCATGGTAGTAATTGCTGTGATTACAAGCCGAGCCCTGAGAGCACCGCAGAATTTATTTTTGGTGTCTCTGGCTTGTGCAGACATCCTGGTTGCCACCTTAGTGATGCCATTCTCCTTGGCAAATGAACTGATGGGTTTCTGGTACTTTGGTACAGTGTGGTGTGAAATTCACCTGGCTTTAGATGTGCTTTTCTGCACCTCTTCCATTGTCCACCTATGTGCAATAAGCCTGGACAGATACTGGTCCGTAACTAAGGCAATTGAGTATAATCTGAGAAGGACACCGTGCAGGATTAAAAGTACGGTCTGTTTAGTTTGGGCACTGGCTTCCTTCATTTCTTTCCCACCACTTATAACAATGAAAAAGGACGAAGGTAAAAAGGATAGCCCTGTGTGCAGAATTAATGAGGAGAAGTGGTACATCATATTCTCCAGCACTGCCTCCTTTTTCGCACCCTGTGTCATCATGATTATGGTATATATTAAAATCTACCTAATTGCCAAGAAAAGAACAAGAGCCCCGCCAGGACAGAGGCAAAGACAGAATGGCCTCTCAGAAGACATCAAGTGTGCACTGGACCCCCAAAAAAGAGAAGACAAACCACTGGATGAGTTAAAAAATGGGAGCAATAAAGAATTTATTGGGCTTGATGTTGAGGAGGATCTCTCTTCATCTGATGGAAATGAAACACTCCTGTGTTCCTTGAAGAAGAGGAGGAGTTACAGAACCACCCAAATGACTCAGGGGAAACCTAGAGAAACCTCTCAGAAGACTGAGGCGAGATCCTCTGTTATAGTGAACAGGCGGAAAGGACGGCAGCACAAAGAGAGACGCTTCACATTTGTCCTGGCCGTAGTCATGGGCGTGTTTGTTCTGTGCTGGTTCCCCTTTTTCTTCACATACACACTCACTGCTTTGTGTGACACCTGCTGTGTCCCAGAGACATTGTTCAAAATGTTCTTCTGGTTTGGTTACTGTAATAGTTCTTTAAATCCTGTTATATACACTGTTTTCAATGCTGATTTCAGGAAGTCTTTTAAAAAGATCCTTTGCAAAAGAAACGTGGGAAGTCTGTAAATACCTCTTACCTCTACAAATGTATTTCACCTTATGACTGACCAGTTCATTATTATATTATGTTATTTTTTTATGATTTGGTGATACAAATGTATTCATATTTAGTATTGCAAAAATAATTAATTGTTTGATAACACTGCCATAAGTTCAGACACTGAATTGTACAAATAGGAGACTTCCCATGAATTTGTTGGTTTTTTTACTCATATTTAATCAGCCATAAGCTAATTCATCAGTTTATCTTTGTTCCTTGTCAAAAACAAGCAGCCGAGTCAGCTTTCTCAGTCATATTGTCAATGGAAAACAAGGTCTGCAAAGTTGCTGAAGCACACATCGTCATTTAAGGAAAGAAAATGTTTGTTTCTGTTTATGGTGCAATATTTCAGTGATTCTAAACCCACAGATCAGGAGCCTCAGGAAGTCTTGAGATCATTTTCAGGGTTTCCAGATGACTGCACTGAATGGTTTACACTGCCTGATGTAATTTTCAATTTGTATTACAATGTATCTGCCAAGGCTGGGAAGCACTGTTCAATGTTACATAAATGTAAACTCCTTTAAATGTAAAATACTTGTAAATTAGCATGGCCTGTGACATCATTATGACTAGAAATGTAATGATGTGTTCACAGCTGCAGTCCTTCCAGAGAGGAAATAAAATGTTAAAATGATACACTGCTATTGGGGCTGTTATTGGGAGGCAAAGCAGGACATGTAAAAAATGTAATGTTCTAAATATTACGCTCTCGTTAGCTGTGAGATTAAGACCAGTCTGTTTGCATGAATAACACAACATTTTTACTTTTGATTCTTGGTTTGGTTTGCACTACAGGGCTCCATCATGGGTTGTTTTTTTGGGGTGTAACTGCAGTTGTTAATCATTTTGTATACTTTACATACTTTTGTAACAATGTTGCACACTATCTACTTTAGTGGTTGACATGAAATGGCCATAAAAGACTAATTGCTGATAGAATGTGATCATGTGCTCAGTATTTTAAGAATCCATGAACAAACAAGCCATTTTAGTCATAGTCTTATGGCTAGTATTGCTCTTTGCAAAGTTTTGAATCTGTGGATTAATCTTTGGAGTAACAACAGCAGGATCATATGAAAGAAATCTCCTAAAGGATGGTTTGCCCACCACATCAACTATCTCACTTTCTCATAACAAGCGCTAGAACAACACAATTATATGAAAAGAAAATTGTGCCCGGGAGGTGCAGGTAGCACAATAATATTAAACACAGTTTATCATGAATTACTGCCCTTCATTTCTGGATATCATTAAGTCCACCCCTGGAGTCAAACAGGACTCATGCAGCGATTGAAATATGAGTGGCTTCTGCAGATTACACTGAGGTTAATATCCACGAGCTTATCAGTGTTTTGTCTTCCTAGACTGTTATCTTTTCCTCATTCTGTTCTCCATTTTAGCACATTCTTCACACCATTTAAACCCTTCTTCAACTTTAAAAATGCTTTCATATCTATCTATCTATCTATCTATCTATCTATCTATCTATCTATCTAT